TGGGTTTTCGTCCACCTTTTCGCAGATCTCTTTAAAGCAGCTGGTTTTGCTGCTTTTGATGGCTTTTTTAAGGTCACTTCGCTTCTTTTTGAAGGCTTCGCGCAGTACCGCATACTCCATCGAGCCACGGTTCCTTTGACACAACCGCCTCGCCTTGTGACACTCACCCTCATGGCCTGGATTTTTTCGTTCCACCAGTACGCCGACTGCCTGAGTGAGCCGTGTTTTCTCCTGCACATAGCAGCGTCGCAGGCTTTACTATTGTGCCTCACCAGTGTTTTAGCCTGGAGCTCAGTGGCCATTTCCTCGTCCAGCACGAGTCTGAAGAGCTCTTCATCCAGAGTCTCTACCTTCCAGCCCCCCGTTTGCGCCTTCCTGGTGAGCCCTTTTCGGCTCCGTGCTCAATTCCCTAGCTCCATCATGATTGCCAGATGGTCACTGTTCGTATAGAGGTCAGACGCCTTCCAGCGCGCTGAGCGCACCAAGGAACTACTAGCGAAAATAATGTCCATCACCGAGCCTCGACCATTCTTCTCAAAGGTATTTTTGTTCCCCGAGTTCAGAAGCACCGCATCAACTACCGAAAACGCCTTTAGTAGTGCATCTTCCTTACTCTGCACACAACCCATCCTACCTTTAGTTTCTGCGCGTCAAGTAATCTTGCTTCCTGTGCTGGCGGTTTTTGTGACTTTAAGTCTACTCACGTTAAAAACGGGGGATGAACGAACACCAGCGCAAAGCGTGCTGTCTTGCACCATGCTGCTTTTGGACGGTTGCCGAAAGCATGAGAGCTTATGCGAAAGACTGGCGAAGGCAATATGCCGCAGTTAGCTAACTTGATTTGTTGCAGAAGTCAAACCGCCGCCTTTGGTTTGTTGCTGAAGGCGCGTTTGACGTGTTGCCGAAGTGATGATACTGCACGATTGAGAGAATACAAAGGTTGCGCCGATCTTGGACCGCTATTCTTCTCTTAACGAGTTTGACATAATCGTTGTTTGCATGACGTCACACTTGTGCAACTTGTTTACGTTTTCCTTGCAACATTTTTTCTTCTTTCATTCTTGCTCACGTTTTGGCATTTCTCTCTCGCAATTGCACCAGTGTTAAGCTCGGAACACTTTGACGACTGCAACTTCACGACGTAACGACAGCGACATCATTTTGTCGACAAATGTCGCCTTGAAGCCAGCTTCTTAAACATTTTGAAGACCTCAGCGACATAGCAAACAGCCGATTTTAAAGTTTGACATTTTGGTATATTTATTTCACAAATTGTGTATTTTTATTTAAGTAAATAAGAAAAACATGAACAATCAAGAATATGTGATTAATTTTGCGACAATTTAATTTTGCAGCACTACATCTACTCATTGTCGCCGGCAAAATTAGAAATAGATTTAATTTGGCGACGTCGACAATTGCAGTCCTGCAGCCAAGATGTCGTGCTGTCGTCAAAATAATTGTGTCCGTAAGAACGTGTGTATTTAAAATTTGACAGATGCTGCTTGTCGCTTGCTGTCGTCAAAGTGTTCCGAGCTTGACGTCACACAAAAGTTATTCTCAAAAATCCTCTCTGATCGGCGCAATCTTGTATTCTATCATTCTTGTTGATACTGTAGTTCAAAAACATTCAACGACACTTGCTTGTTTGAAATGAAGCATTGATATGTACATACATAAGGGCTATTCGCGATTCGGTGCATAAGAGCTGACAAATTTATGCAATTGCAGAAATATGCCATGGATTGTGAGCGACCTTTATTAAACTGTCATGGTAAAGCTTTTGCAAAACAATTTTTGTGCATCAGCTTTGGTTTTGTTTATGAATGCAATGCATAGCATTTTTATGCTATGGATTTTCGGTATTGCAAATTTGCCAAGCCATGACAAATGCAAATGCGTGTATTTTGTTTGTGTATTGCAAATAATTTGCAATACAAATTTGCAATGCAATGATGCTAGGCCATTTGCACCGGATCGCGAATAGCCCTATACATACGTACGTATGCACATTCCTCACAACTAGCCAGCAGTGAGCAAAACAATTGAATGGTAGACGCGCTATACATACATACA